TGGAGGAGGTGATTGTCTCCGACTCGATCGTGGTGATTGTGAGGGTTCTTGACCTTTCCCGGTGGGCGCCAAAAGGTACTCTAGTAAATTGCTTGTGGCTTGTGTGATCCTCATCTTGTGTTGGTTAAAGCGGCACCCTATTGAGGGTTTGGCGAGTGATGCCAATCGTAGCGTGAACCTCCAAGTGAGTGAATCGCCACAAACGAGGACTAGCTTCTTGAAGCAAGCAAGTGAACCTCGGTAAAAATCATTGTGTTCATCATTTGATTCCGAGCTGATTGGTCTACATTGGTATTCATTATTGTGATTGATTGGTTCCTACCACTACACGGCGGTATAACTCTCTTGCTCACTCTTACATTACCGCAAACTAGTTATCAAGCTCTTTAGTGTAGCTAGTTGTGAGAGCTTGTTTGTTTGATTAGTGTTGCTCTTTAGTTAGTCTTTGAGAGCACACTAATTTAGCTAAGTGTCATAGCTATTGTGTGGACATACACTATTCGAAATAGAATTGTGGTAGGTGGCTTGCATTTTAGTAGGCTAGCGCAACACTCGCTTCGCCGCAAAATTGTCTAACACATTTTGTTAAGTGTTGTTGTAGAATTTTATTAGACTATTCACCCCCCCTCTAGCCATTAGGACCTTTCACCCACCTTGTACCAGGTGAGGGGTGACCCCACTTATGACACCTCTCTCAGTAGCTTTGTTTAAAATTGTAGAGAGCCCATCTGTCACCAGGTTGAACAACAGAGGGGATAAGGGGTCTTCTTGTCTGAGCCCCTTATAGCTTCTAAAGTACTAACCCAGCTCACCATTATGGTTTACTACAACTCTTCCCCCACAAACGGATTTCAAAACCCACTCAATCCACCTCTCATCAAATCCTTTGTTTCTCAACACTTCTTCTAGAAACCTCCAACTGACTTTATCATAGGCTTTCTCAAAGTCCAATTTCAGATTAATACCACTGTGTTTATTTCTTGCCATCTCTCGTGTAGAACTTCATGTATCACAACAACCACATCTAAAATGTATCTACCAGGATAAAAGCAGACATTTGATCAGAAGTTTGCACTTCAGAGCATATCATTTGAAAAGTAAACCAGCATGCATTGTGCCTGATGGAAGCTGCTGGCAGCACTACACGAAAAAAGAAGATAAAGAGAAAGAAACATCCCGTCGATTCCAACTCCAGATACATGGTTCCCATATAAAACCTTTTGAAGACCCACATCATTTTCCTTAGGGGAAATTGTCTGGCGGACATCCAAAGTGATGGTCGTTTGCTGGCAGACACCCAATTTTGAGCAGTTTGCTAGAAGACACTCTGGTTCATTGAAATTAGGCCACAGGACATTGCGGCCCGGTTTCAGCCGGTTGAGGAGAGAGAAATTTTCATTTTGGACATCCGGTGCCCCTGAGCCACACTTGGGTTTGCCCCCCAACCTGGTCTGGTTAGACCCCAATAGAGGGGAAGGCAGCGTAGGAGGCCGCTGCCGGAGGGGAAGGCGCCGCCGGCCTTGCGCTGCTCATCCTGGCGGCGCACGACGACCTAGAAGACAGCGAGGAAATCACGGCCACGGGCATCGAGGATCACGTTGCGGTCCTTGAAGGGCCGCTCGAGCGTGCGGATTTGCTTCCCTGTGGTGGCCTCCTCGACGGCCACGGGGTCCTCGGGTGGCGACGAGGGCGGGTGGAGGTGGGGTTCCTACGGATGGAAGGCGGAGGGGAGTAGCGGGTTGCGCTGAAAGCTCTAGTTTGGTTTTGATTAATTGATGAAACCCTAAGTGCTAACCTAGTTTATCAAAGTGATTATGAGATAGGTAGCACTACTCCAAGTGATGAAGCAATGGTGAAGATCATGATAATGGTGATGGCATGGTGATGATCAAATGCTTGAACTTGGAAAAGAAGAAAGAGAAAAACAAAAGGCTCAAGGCAAAGGTATAAATAGTAGGAGCCATTTTATTTTAGTGATCGAGACACTTAGCGAGTGTGATCACATTTAGGATCGATAGCCGTACTATTAAGAGGGGTGAAACTCGTATTGAAATGCGTTTATCAAAGTGCCACTAGATGCTCTAACTCATTGCATATGCATTTAGGATCTAGTGGAGTGCTAACACCCTTGAAAACATTTGTGAAAATATGCTAACACATGTGCACAAGGTGATTCACTTGGTGGTTGGCACATTTGAGTAAGGTTTAGAAACTTCACCGGTGGAGTGTCCGCCCGTAGAGTGCGGACAGTCCGATGGTGCCACCGGCGCCCTATATAGAAAAGATAGGGTTTCACTGGAGTGACCGGATGCTGGCCTTTACTGGACCAGCACGTCCAGTCAGTGACGGCAGTGAGCTCGCGTCTCGGTCTTGTGACCGAACGCTGGCGCAAAATCTGACCGGACGCTTAGGGTCTGAGTCCGATCAGTGCTGACGTACGCTGACGTGGGGCGCACAGAGGAGACATTGAGTGATCGGACGCTGGGAGAGTCCGGTCGGGCATGACCGGACGCTTCCGGTCGTGAAATCTCGTGTTTGGAACCTTACTGGAAACCCCCCAGCGTCCGGTCACTTTCTAACTGACGCGTCCGGTCATCACTTGACCGTTGAGATCGGGCGATCAACATTTGAAGCAAGGGGACATGTGGCACACATCGCACGACCGGACGCTGAGGTCCAGCGTCCGGTCAATATGACCGAAGCATCCGGTCACCCCGCATTGTGCCCAGTGAAGGGGTACAACAGCTCTATTTCGTGGGGGCTTCTATTTAAGCCCCATGGTCGGCTCAAGCTCACTCTCTTGGCCATTTGCATTGACATAGCAACCTTGTGAGCTTAGTCAAAGCCCTCCCACTCATCTCCATCATTGATTCATCATCTTTGTAAGATTGGGAGAGAATCCAAGTGCATTGCTTGAGTGTTTGCATCTAGAGGCACTTGGTGTTCGTGTTTCGCTGTGGTATTCACTTGTTGCTCTTAGTGGTTGCCACCACCTAGACGGCTTGGTGCGGTGGAGGAGGATTGGCACCAGTTGGTGACTGTTCGTGGCCATCTCCGGTGATTGTGAGGGGATTTGTATCTACCCCGGCGGAGCGCCGAAAGGTAACTCTAGTGGATTGCTCGTGTCATTGAGTTACCTCACTTGTGGGTAGGTTCTTGCGGTGCCCAATTGTGTGGACGAGGTTCGTGCAACACCTCTTAGCCGCCGAACCACCAAGTGTTGGTCGACACAACAGGGACGTAGCGTGTTGGCAAGCACGTGAATCTCGGGAGAAAATTGGTTGTCTTTTGCCCTTTGGTATTCTCCCGGTGATTGATAAAGTATTCATCTTGTGATTGGTTCACTCCTCTACGCGGCGGTATAATCATCTCACTTACTCATTTACATTCCCGCAAACTAGCTATATCAAGCTCTTTAGTGTAGCTAGAATTGAGAGCTTGCTTTGTGGATTAAGTTCATCTTGTGGAGCTCTTTAGTGTAGCAATTGTGAGAGCTCTTAGTGAGTAGTGACCTAGTGAATTGTGTGCCTAGTGATCATAACAACTAGAATTATTGGATAGGTGGCTTGCAACCCTTGTAGAGCTAGAGCAAGTTTGCATTTCGCTATTTGTTATACTAATCAAATTGCTCTAGTTGATTTGTATATTTTAAATAGGCTATTCACCCCCCCTCTAGCCATATTAGGACCTTTCACGCGCGGAGGAAGTCGAGGAAGGTTTTGCGGTCGGGGAGGGAGATGGGCGGGATGCGGCGGAGGCGCGCGGCCTGGATGAAGTCGGTGTGCTTGAGGTATGGTGCTGCGCGAGGAAGACGTCGGCGGAGAGCGGGTAGGGGCGGCCTGACTACTTGGAGGCGAAGGCGGTGGGGGTGGAAGCCAGAAGGTGTAGTCGGAGCCGAAGTGGATCTTGTTGCCGGAGAAGATGATCTTTGTCCAGCTTGTTGCGTGCGCGGGCTCCGCTAGCCATGGCTCCTCCAGCCGTGGCTCCGCCACGCGCGGGCACAAGCTCCACCGGGCGCAGTGGAGGTGGCGGGGCAGCCTTGCCCATAGCTCCTCCGACCGGGTGCGATGAAGGCGACGAGGCGGCCTCACCCGCAGGCGTTCCGGCGAGGTGCCGTGGAGGCAGCCGGGCCTCGCCCACCGATGCGCAGGCGTGGCCCGCTGGAGGCAGCGAGGCACCCTCGCCTAGAGTCGCGCCGACCAGCTCACGTCATGGAGGAGGCAGAGGACAAACTAGCCACGGGCGTCGCGAGTGTGAGGTCACCAATGGCGTGCAGCAGCGTCATGGGCGGCCGGTGCGAGACCTGCTACAGGATGACGTTGAGGCTCCCCTTGCGCTCGTGGCCGGTGGAGCCGCGGCTGGCGGAGCCATGGTTGGTGGAGCCCGCGCCTTCCCCTCCGACAGCGGCCTCTTGCGCTGCCTTCCCCTCCCGCGCCGCCATCCCCTCCGTTGGGGTCCAACCAGACCAGGTTGGGGGCGGACCTAACTGTGGCTCAGGGGCACCGGATGTCTAAAACGAAATTTTCTCTCTCCTCAAGTGGCTGCAACCGGTCCGCGGTATCATATGGTCTAATTTCACTGAACCAGAGTGTCTTGTGGCAAACTGCTCGAAACAGAATGTCTACCAGCAAATGACTATCAATTTGGATATCCAACGAACAACTGTCACTTTTCCTTAATAAGGAACAAAAACTCAACTTTCAGAAGTCGAATTCCCATACGAAAGTTGTTCAGTTTCTTGAAAGATTCTCAACAATTTTTTTGGCTTTCGAGTTACACTAATTCAGTTCTTCTACCAAATTTACAAACACCGTCTCATTGACGTGTTTGTACCGTCACTTCTCACTGACGTGTGGGCCACACAAACCAGCAGCCCATGCGCATTCTGCTTCTGCCCAAGCAATAAAGCCATCCAATCCAAAACCCAAAGCAAACCCCTACTCGGCTTCTACTCCCTCTTCCTCGTCTTATCCCCTCCTGCGTCACTCACCTACACCGCCATGGCCTTCGTCTCTGCAACCTCCGCCGCCTCCGCCTCCGCCACCTCCTTCCTCTCCGTCCTGTCCCCAGATCGCAGCGTTGGCGCGTGCGTCTGCCCGCGGCGCCGGCAGCCGTTCTCAGCTCCGTTTCACGCGGCGAAGGGCCCCAACTCGGCGCCGGTGGTGTTGGAGAGCAAGGCTAAGGGAAAGAAGAAGAAGGGGTCCGGCGCCGGAAACCTCGCCGGAGCCCTCGACGTCGAGATCAGGGAAGCGCAAGAGTACCTCGACAGCGACGAGCAGGTGACTGTGGGTCCCTCGTGCTTTGCGACTTGAATTGTTCAGTTTCCGTCGAATTATGTGGTAAACGTATTCCCCTTATCAGAGTAGTGGGGATTTCGCGAGTAGAAGAATTGTATTGGGCCGTATTACGGTATTAGAGAGAAATTTGTGATGGAGAGAGATGGCAACTTTACTGAAATTTGTCGTGTGTTATGAATGTCTGCGAATGATAGGTAGGAATTTATCGCTTCTGCTCACTGAGCTCAATACTCGTGCTAGCTACTAATTTACCACTACTTTGAAGATCCATCTATAATTTGGTGTGTTAGGAAAGAGCTCAATTCACAACAGGACCTAACAGCCTTTTTTTGTGGGTAATCTGACCACTTAATGCTGGCATAAACGGTTTGATTAATAATAACACCGAGAGTTTTTTAGTGACTTATGTACTATACAAATGGAGGAGGTTTATCTCCTGAAAGGAAATTTTAATACCTTGGTGGTAGTGGATTAAACAATTTCGTGTTCTTACATGGATAATATTTCCATCTGCACAACTCGGTATCAAAATTCTGCAGTCGTGGTATCTATATTCTGTTAGTGGAAATCATACTGCAAATATGCTATATGAGTCAGTCAGTGTTCAGAGCTGTTTTGTTCCTTGCATCTGTTATTCACTGTGTTCAATCATCCAGATTCCTGACTTTCTTGCATTTGTTTTTTCTCGGATGTTGACATGAATATCCACTGAAGAGTCTAATTATATAAGTAAACCATCTTGTCTTAGGTATTTTCTTTTCCTGTGTTTCATGAACATATACATGACCAATAAAGCATGCTGCTGGTACTTCTTTGAATGAGACTGGCTCGATACCATGTTGCCTCTTCATTGTATAATGCAAAAGAAGCCCGCGTATATTTTTTTTATCATTTTTCTTCTGAACAGCTGCAATCATTCAGCTGATGTCAAATCACCCAATCATTCTAATGATTTTTAGGGACTGTGACTTCACAATTAGTGGGACCAAAGACCAATGATTGAATTTGTTGAGAATTCGGCTTCAAGTTTTGAACTACTTTGAGGCTCCGCGTGAGAGCAATGTTCAAACTGACATTGAGGTTGACTGCTTATCTGGTGATGCACAGTCCTGAAAAGACTTTGGGCAGATGTTACTTTCTGCAACATTTGACATTTAACATAAAATTCACTTTTCTGGTTCCACCCTACTTTGGGTCCTTGATTTTGCAAATATATAAGGTTGTTAGCTTAGCTATATTCATTTTTTCCTTCTTTTGTCAGGAACCTGTTCCAGACAACTTCCCATTTGAAATAATTGACGAAGATGGTATGAGCGTGGTTATTTTGAGAAGGGACTACAAGGATGAGAAGATTGAGGTTACTGTCAGCATGCCTAATTTAGAAGGAGGCCCTGAATTTGATGATGAGGATGGTGAGGGCGATGGTGAGAGTTCTGCCAAGGATGATGAAGAAGCAGAAGAAGATGATGAGAGTGCCGGAGATAGCAGCATTTCTCTTAAGGTGGTAGTTTCCAAAGACTCTGGCCCAAAGCTTGAGTTCACATGCACAGCCTTTCGTGAGGAGATCACCATTGATGATATGCTAATAGTAGAGAGAACAGACGATGATGGAGAAGAGAAGTTCCCTTATGAGGGCCCTGAGTTCACGTAAGCAATGTCAGTTTTGGCGTGCATTTAAGTCCTGTAATAATGAAATGCAAGATACTAATCCACTCATTTACTGGTTCGTTTGTATTGCAGCGAGCTCCCTGTGAATGTTCAGAAAGGCCTGTTCAAATACTTGGAGCAAAGGGGGGTAACGCTGTCGGCTACCAACTATATGCACAACTACATGGTGACTAAGCAGGCTCAGGAGTACATCCGGTGGATGACTAAGCTGAAGGATTTCGTCAAGCAATGAGGAACGACAGTTTTGGTAGAGCCTAGCCTTAGCATGTGTTACAGGCTTACAGCCTTACAGGAATACTATGATTACACGAAATTGGTTGCACTCCAAAAAGGAGAATCGTATCTGCCTCAATGTATCTGTATCAGCTGGCAAAACAGGAGCAAGTAGATTTCCAGTAATGTTTAGTGGTGGCAATTAGGTATTAGGATTCATATCTGTCTTCCTGTTAGGCGTGTGCTCTGAAGAGCTTTATCCTTTAGTGTCTACGCTAGTTGGTTTTACCTGTTTTCTTGTTGTTTAGCAAGGGTTGCTGTTGCTGTAATGCGAGAGTGTTAACTGGTATCCCCAGTTGTAAAACTCTTATATGCTTTCTTAAAAGCAGATGTAATCTCCTTTCCCAAAAAAAAAAAACTGGATGTCATGAGCTGTACTATTTCAGCGAACGAACAGTGTTTTTCTCTCACAACAAATCAACGAACAGTACTTTCGGCCATGGTTTTTCAGCAAAGCGAACATGGCTGTTGTCAAATTCTGGGGGCTGGGACAGTGCGATGAGCCTGTTGTTGTGCAGAAATGAGGGCATTCTAAATCTTGCTTAAGATATCTGTTTTGTTTGAATAGTGTGGTGAGCTTGAGCATATACTTCTACTTCTGGTTTCCGAGGTCATACAAGTTCGAAATCCAGTAAAATTCGTTGTTCAAAAACCTGTACACGTACACATGATAACTGTGACGACTTCTTTGATTGGCACTTGACAGAAACCAGACATACTTTGGACTCTCAAAACTTCAATTTATTCTTAGATTTTTTTTAAAAAAACTGATTTTTTTAAGATGCTAAAACAAATCTGAAACATCAGTTCTTTCTTGTTTCCCAAGAAGTACAGCTTGGGCGTAAACCATGGAATGGGAGACTAGAGATCAAACCGACAGATGGGTCCCACCACCGCTTCTTCTTAAGCCACCCCACGCCTTTACAAAACTCCCGACTCCCGACCCCTAAAACCCAGAAAACCCTAGTAGGCCTTCACACGCCGCCGCCTCCTCCTTCGCCATGGCCCTCTTCGCCGCCGCCCGCCGCGCCGCGGCCTCCTCCGTGCCCATCCTCCTCCGCGCCTCCGCCTCCTCGGGGTCCCACCGCTGCGCCGCCCTGCACCGGCCCCTCGCTGCCGCCGTGGCGCGGCCGAAGCCCCGCGCGATGCCGTTCTCCTCGGCGCCCGCGACGAGACCCAGCTCCGACGCCGAGCTACTCAGCGTCATCGACTCCGAGATCAAGTACGCCGAGGACTGCGACGACCACGACAGGGTAAACGAGCAGATTCCCCTATCTATAATGTGTGCATGTCTATTTTGCGATCTTAGAGTAAAAATCAATCCTTGTTTGTTGCACCCAGATCCATTGTCGCTGTAAATTCAGACACGCGACCGGGCATATTATGACCTGTTATTAGGTAGATTATTTGATGACCTGTCATTTATTCTGTTGCACCTGCTGTGAATTGGAATCTGATGGGTCCTCCAAAACGGAGGACCTTAGGTAGTATTGTTGTGTTTCTATTTTTGGTCAAATCTATATGCTCATTCTGTGATTGGTAGCGTTGATCCTGTACTCCTGTTTCCACTTTATTCAATGCTCGTAATTCTTCTGCACTGAGGCAGAATTTGGGCTGTGACATGCCAGTTTCCATCTTCAAATTGTGATACTTTTGGCACACATAATCTGTTATTCTTAAATGCCCTTATGATTTTAATTTATTTCGATGCCTTTGTTTATTCAGTGACTATATAAATATAATATACCCATCCTATAGTGTTTTGTACACTTGGGCAGTTGGACCTCGTCCTAAGAAAGTTTTTTTTCCTGTAGCTTCACTGCCTTGACTGCCTGGTTTCTTTAGATTCATCTGCCGCTTGTCCTTTGTTAATTTGTTGTTATACTGGGTTTCTGTTTAGGGAAGCTGATGCATGCTTGCCACTACTTGGAGTTGTTGTGTATCAGTATGAGCAGTGTGGTTGGCCTTGTGGTTCCAATCTAAGCATCCATGCGACCATGGCTGCTGAATTAGTATTACTCTCTGGTTGCAAGGGAGCAGAAAAATAGATAAATTATATGCCACTTTACCCATTTACAATACTCTCTTTTTTTCAAATTGTAAGTCATTTGGCTTTTCTAGGTACACAGCTTTTGCTATGCATCTATCTATATGCTATGTCTAGATACATAACAAAAACTATGTAGCTATAAAACCAAAACGATTTACAATTTGGAATAGAGGGAGTACTTTAGAATGCTTAGAATATTTTTATTTTTGTTTGATTTGATACTATTTGTTATTTCTAATAGCTACATGGTAGGATAGAAGAGGAGTCAGCCTTTGTAATGCAATGCCTTTCTGGTTTAATTCAGCCATATATGATTTCTGGTAATCAAAGATGAAATGGAGTTTGATGTGTGAGCCATCCTGTGTGAATACAACATGATGGCAAACATGTTGGGGATCAATCAGCCTGTTCTTATCTTGTGTAGAGAACATTGTCTTGTCTGCCTGTTCATTTTAGTAGATTTGTTTTGTGGTTAGGCTCTCATCAGTTCATTTCAAAACAGGTTGAGGAGATTCCAGATAACTTCCCTTTCAAAATCAGCGACGAGAAGGGGACGAATGTAGTTACCCTTAAAAGAACATATCAGGGTGAGCAGATTGAGGTCGTGGCTCACATGCCCAGCCTCGTCACTGGAGATGAGCCTGATCATGACCGTGATGGTGAGGACGAGGGTGAGGACAAGGAGGGAGATGACAATGAGGAAGACGAAGGCCAGAAGCCCGAACAGTCCAGCGTTCCTCTCACAGTCACTATCTCCAAGGGTGATGGCCCGGTCCTTGAATTCACCTGCACTGCCTATCCTGACGAGGTCCTCATCGACTCCTTGTCCGTGACACAGCCCTCAGGGGATGATGAACATGACATGATTGCATATGGGGGTCCTGATTTCAAGTAAGAAGAAATACCTAAGCCAACTCATTTTTCGTTTTTTGAGTGTTCAAATGCTTTAGCAAATCGTTTTATGGCGCTGACAATCTACATTTTCTTGGATGTTCAGTGACCTTGATGAGAACCTGCAGAGGGCATTCCACAAGTACCTGGAGCTGCGTGGCATTTCACCAATGACCACAAACTTCTTGCACGAGTACATGATCAACAAGGACAGCCGTGAGTACCTGCTCTGGCTGAGGAAGCTGAAGGATTACTTCAAGCAGTAGAGATCTACACCATCGCTATCAATTCCCAGGCATCAAATGTTCTTTGCACATTGAAATTAGAACTCAGGATTAATTTTAGATAAATATGAAAGATGCTTGTGCACTTACATGAGCTTCTTAAGTTCGTTTTTTTGGCTATGGTTTTAGTGGTATGATAACGACCGGTTCATCTGCAAGTTGGAACCAGTATGTTTTGGAAAGGTTAAGTAGGATTGAAGTCCAGTTTCTCAGCTGTCTCTAATGTCAGACATGAAATCTTGGTGAGGGGGTGGTGCCCGCGTGATTGAAACCGTGTGATTGCCGAGCAGAACTCAGCACGTAATGCGAATGCGTGTTCACTTTGTGGGCTCGTACATTTGTGAGTGTGATTCAGGTGAATTTGCGTGACCTGAAAACGTCAATACCGTGCTGGCCTAATGCAACCTGTTCGTTTGGCTGTGGCTTGTCGTAGATGATAGTAAATTTTCAGCTGGAACAGTATTTTTTTTTCACATAAACCAGCTAGTAGTACTTCTTCACGAATCAGCCAACCGAACAGGTTGATGCTTGTCTAATGCATGTGTTGGCAACTTCTACTAGTTGATTAATATGCCCTCTATTTTTGAAAAATAATGAAACAAGTACAAGTCTTCTACAACTAAAAAGAATAAAACATGGATATTTTTTTGTGCAACATTTGTTTTGGTTCGTCCGTCTATCCATGCCTGCAATCCCGCACCCGTCGCTCCCTCGGTCTGTCTTCCCCTGTGATCACCGCGAGTCCATGCCGCACAAAAGGAAACCGCTCCTGTGATTCCTCCGCCCGCCTCCCCATCGTCGCCCACCCGCAGCTGGCCGCGCCGCAGCCCGCGCCCGCCCGGAGCTGGCCGTGATGCCGGCCGCACCCACCCTCCTTGCGAGTCGAAAGCTCCCCACGACGGCACGGCCCCGCGGCCGGATCCAGATTGGAGGTACTCCCCACTTTCCCTTCTTCTTCGCGTCACAAGCGACCCCGGACCCCTCACCGGATTGGATCTCGCGCTTCGTCGGTGCCGGTGCCGGAGCCGGAGATGATGTCGTCATCATCGGATGCGGCCGTGGCGCTGGAGCTGCAGGAGTCCGAGTGGGAGGAGCTGCGGCTGAGGTGCGCAAGCTGGAGGGCGACCTTGACGTGAAGCTCTCCTCCTACGCGCGCCTCGCCCGCGACGAGCTAGACGCCCTGGGTGTCAGGTTCCGCCACCTGGTCATGCGCACCGGCGTCGTCGCCACGCTTGGCACCGGCCGCCCGCCCATTGTCGCGCTCCGGGCCGACATGGACACGCTGCCCATCCAGGTATGTGCCTGCGTGGTGCGTGTGCCAACATGTACGTGTTGTTCAGTGCTACTCATTATTGAACTAATCTTTTCGATTTCTCTCTTCGTCGGATTCAAATCCGTTTCCAAAATTTGAGGCGTGCTAACAAAAGATTATTACTACATAGTACCAGAAATTATTCCAAGCGTGACAAATTATTAATTTCCTGACGATTCATCCGCGGAGGTGCTTGTTTAATTTTGCCGATTTGTTTTCTTGTCCGTGATAGCATTTTTACTTCAAACATGGTGGCCGTATCTTTTAATCTGTGTGCTTATAAGCCAAGAATGGAAAGACACCGCCCATTGCAGTAGTTGTTTGCATTGTTTCTTGTGTAGGATGAGCTGGGAGATTAGGTTTAGTGTATCTATCCCTGGGAACTGCCATGGAGTTGGGTTTTTGACAAATTTATTAATCTG